CAGCACAGACCCCCCATCCCCGAGGCCCAGCACAGACCCCCATCCCCAGCACAGACCCCATCCCCGAGGCCCAGCACTCATGACCCCAGACTAATCTGAGAAGGAGCCATTTATCGATACTCTCTGTACCTGTTCCTTTAGACAGTTCTCTATCCATATGCACACCCCATGCATCTATGCCCATAGACCTCAGCTTGTAGCAAGCGTTTATGTGGTACCGTATCACATCCACCGGCCTCCCTCTATCCAGATCTCTACTCACCTCTTCGTAGAAGGTCAGTAGGTTGGTCTGGCAGGAACAGTCCTTCCTAAATCCGTGCTGGTTATTATCCTGAACAAACTCTACCAAGTCGTCCTTTATCATCCCTCTAACAGTCTCCATGCTATAGATGTTAGACTGACTGCTCTGTAGTTCCCGGGTTGGCATCTGGAACCTTTTTGAATAATCGGGACTTCCGTAACTTTCCGCCAGTCACTCGGTACTCCACCAGCCATTATGGAGTCCTTGAAGATGAGGAATAACGGTCCGGCTATAACCTGGCCGAGCTCTCTCAGTACATTCAAACTGTTTCTCTCCAGAGTGAATCTTACTATGTACGTCTATCACAGACTGCCCAGAACACCACTGGCCACACTGAGGAGAAGAGCATGGCACGTTGGGTGGAGAATGCTCAACTGTGCCGATGGCTTTCCAAGCTTGGTACTTACCAAGTCTTCCACAGCATCGGGGGAACGGGTAGAGCTCGGCTGATGGTGAACAAGATCCGAGGAACTGCTCGAGCGTTGTTGATGGTCAACAGGGTCCGGGAACCTGCAGCCACTTTGCTGATCACAATTGCTGTGGATGTAGAAGAACTTTGATGATGGTTATTAAGAGGTGAGGAACTGGAAGAACCTTGCTGATGGTCAGGAGTAGGATGCCATTGGTGTGTTAACATCTCCAGTGCCAAGGCAGTGGGTGAATCTAAGGTGTGGTGAATGGAGGCCGGTGGGTCTGCATGAAGGATGGCCTTTCACATATTACTTCTGATCAAATATCCTCAGTAAAGGCGCATATCTACAGCGAGCAGGAAAGCCGAGATAAGGTTATTTATCTCCTGAACCCACCGCGTCTACCACCACGTTTCCTTACACTTCACGGCAAATGTATCTCCATCTCTTGATCTCCATTCAGGAAGAAAAAGGAAAGACCATTGAGTAGGATACTAAGCCACGCCCCCATTGATCCGGCCAAAAAGATATCCCCTCCTCCGTTTTATCACTTTGGAGACCATTTCCACCGGGATAAAGGTAAGTAGGCATCTGTCTACGGTGGAGAAGAAGAAGCCGAGATGAAGCGAAATATCTCCTGAACCACCTGTCTCCATCACCGGACCTACTTACATCAGCGGCAACATTACTTTGCTCTTCAGATCCTGATCCATGAACCAGGAAACGCACCGCTGTGAGTGAAACCCGCATATCTCTCCGCTAATTACAGGAAATTGACTATTCTTTTTCTTCCCTTTGTTCTCCATACACGTGTATGTTAACTCCTTAAATGCCATTTTTGCTCAAAAAACGGACATTATTTCCCGACTTTATGGAAGTTCTAGATACCAAGTATAACAACCATACATGAGAATATTGAGGCCTTCCAGGGTGTGCCCTTTACCTCTTGTTTCCACCGTTAGCCGGAGGCAGTCATATATATGTTTGTCCGTGTTTTGATATGTAAGCTAAATTAATATATTTGAAATAAATATACTCTGAAAGAATGGTGGCATCCCCTACGGTGGAAAATTGTATCTTTTCACAATTTGTTTTTCCCAGAATCCTCACCTCTCCGGTCATGTGAGCTTCCAGAACCCTCCTCACCTCTCCGGTCATGTGAGCTTCCAGAACCCTCCTCAGCTCTCCGGTCATGTGAGCTTCCAGAACCCTCCTCACCTCTCCGGTCATGTGAGCTTCCAGAACCCTCCTCAGCTCTCCGGTCATGTCAGCTCCCAGAACCCTCCTCACCTCTCCGGTCATGTGACCTTCCAGAACCCTCCTCACCTCTCCGGTCATGTGACCTTCCAGAACCCTCCTCACCTCTCCGGTCATGTGAGCTTCCAGAACCCTCCTCAGCTCTCCGGTCATGTGAGCTTCCAGAACCCTCCTCACCTCTCCGGTCATGTGACCTTCCAGAACCCTCCTCACCTCTCCGGTCAGATCATGTGACCTTCCAGAACCCTCCTCACCTCTCCGGTCAGGTCATGTGAACTTCCAGAACCCTCCTCACCTCTCCGGTCAGGTCATGCGACCTTCCAGAATCCCCCTCACCTCTCCGGGCCAGATCATGTGACCTGCCAGAATCCAGTTCACTGTGACCAATGTCTATGGGGGTGACATACAGGAAGTCCCCCCTAGTTACCTATGTACACCAAGACAAAGAGCGCCACCGTGGAAGAGGGATGATGGCGGCATGCGAAGGCTGGGTGTGGTCATGTGGGCGGGGTTTAAAAGGGTGTAGTCCAATCATGCTGACCATGCTATTGGAATGTGAATGCTCAGTGATGCTGCTCCTCTTTCAGGCTCCGCCGCAGTGTCACAGACGATTGTTAGAATCACAAACAAAACCCTTTCCAGAACTCCGGCCAGGCCCAATGTGGGATAATCCGGCGGAATCCAGGACTGTCGGGAGGTATATATACACAATGAGAGGACATTGGGGTATGGGGGTCTCCTGTACATCAGTCACAGCATAACCTCCCCTCACTACACACAGGAAGCCTCTTATCCTCCATGCTGCCTATGCCCCATGCAGAATTCCCCAGCCCATAGGCTTCTCCAGCACCACTTCCGGCATTTGCGTTCCACCTATCTCAGAAGAACTTCCGGTATTTGCGTTCCACCTATCTCAGAAGAACTTCCGGGATTTGCGTTCCAAACCGGCATTCCCCATCCCCGCCTTGCGTAGGAATCCCGCACCCCTTCCAGCCAATCAGAGCGCACCAAGTGTAAGAGCTGTGTGGTCACAAGAGGTCGCCTCTCGGCAGACATTTTTCTTTAGCCGATTCCTCTGCAAAAACACTTTATTTGGTCTCCATGAAAATGGCGACTCTGCCTCATCTCCACATCGGAGACATCGTTCTTAGAATCTACACAAATATGGCCGACAAAGTGACAAGTCCGGTACGGTAACCCGCCCACTCACTGCTGCCAGCCTATCAGGTGGCGAGGCCCCAGTGCGGAAGTAGTGTTGGCCAATCAGAGGCGGGTGCAGAGCTTCCTTTTGGACACGGGCTCGGTTAGGAAGAGAGGGGTCTCCATGAGGTAAGAGCCCCCGGGCGTGACGTCACCCAGCATGAGGGACCTGGAATAAAGGGAACTTCTTGAAGTGAAGGGGGAACTCCTGGGCGGGGTTATGGGGCCCCTCTGGACTTTTGTGTCCCTGGAGGGGCCCTGATCTCGTATTCTGTTTGGCAGAGGCGACCATCTTTCCTGAACGCTTACATGGGATCGGTGGCGTGCTTCTC